ATACTCGGGTTTTATATGCTTGCCCCTGAAATGCTTACAAATTGTTGGTAACTATCAAAGTCCAAAGGAAAGGAAGGGGAGGAAGGGAGCCAGAAAGAAGTCAAACTTTAATGTATAAACTTGGTCATTAAGTCCGTTTTGTATGTATTTTTTTAATTGTGGTAAAATGTACCTAACCTAAAATTCACCATTTTAATGTATAACCCAATGGCACTTAGTACATTCACAGTGTTGTGCAACCATCACCTCTGTCTGGTTCCAGAATATCACCCCAAGAGGAAGCCCTGTCCCCTTCTAGTGCTCACTTTCCATTCCCTCCTTCCAAAGACCCTGGGAACAACTAATCTGCTTTCTGTCTCTGCAGATTTGCCCATTGGGGACATTTCCTATCAACGGAATCCTATACTATGGGGCCTTTTTGTGTCTGGCTTTTTCACTCAGCATCATGAGTTCAAGGTTGACCCATGTGGTAGCCTGGATCAGTGCTTCAATCCTTTTTGTGGCTGAATAATACTCTAGTGGGTGGACATACCACATTTTGTTTATCTAGACATCAATTGATAGAAATTCGGATTGTTTCCATCTTTTGGCTAGCATAAATAGTGCTGCTATGAACATTCACGTACAAGTGTTTGTTTGAATACCTGCTTTCAGTTCGTCGAAGTATTTATCTAAGGGTGCGGTTGCTGTAAATGGACTTGTAAATCCTTCTCAGCCCAGATAGAGTTTACAAAGCAACTTTTCCATCTCATGAGAGCATCATAAATTTGCAATGATCAACTAATCTTTAAGGAATCATATAGTTGTGAGCAGCATTAACTGGACAAGCTTTCTGAGGGCTAGTGTAGACCAAGATACCAGTGAATAAGACCCATGAAGTGCTTCCCCATTAGGGAAGGCAAATAATCTGTCATGGAAATGAGAAAATAAGATTCTCGGGTCCTGCCCCGAACCTACTCAGTTGGCATTTCTGAGGCAGTTATAGGGATGCGCATTTGTTCAGAGTTCCTCAGATAATTCTGATGCACACCTTTGGTTAAGCACTCAAGGAATTACAAGCAGTTCAACCAAGGTCACCTGAGACTCATCAACCAAGACCAAAGGTCTACTTACTTGCACCGCAAGTCCAACATAGAGAGGAAGTGACCTCCCTCATGTCAACACTAACCAGTTAACAGCTGAAAATGTCCAAGGGCAGCTCCAGTCTACCCAGACTTCTTTGGAAGCCTCCTCACAATACGTCTCAGAAAAAAAAAAAAAATAATTGAAGAAACCTCTCTCGCTTCCTGACATGTCTTTATTCAGAATCCCACCTCACAGGATTTTTAGAAGTTAAAGTACATTGATCTGAATATCAGAAACCTTAGGCAATAATGGAAGATATTCTCTAATTCTGTGAAGAATAATGTTGAAGTAAGCAGCGGGCAGATGCCCACAGAATATTCAATGCACTCACACCTTCTAATGGGAGAAAAACATCAACAATACGAACAAATGCTCCATATTTAAGCAATTTAGAAAGATTGGCTTTTTAATCAGCTTTTAAAACAATGATAAGAACACTTGCCAATATCATCAGTTACTTTTAACTGTGCTTCTAAATCTTAAAAGAAGCTGTTCATGCTGACCAGGCAAGAAGTTTTATGAAATGTTGGGAGGATGTCAATTTCAGAGAAAAGACACTTGGCAACAATTTTTATCCATTTTTTCAGAGTTTTTTTTTTCCTTCAAGAACTCTACAAATCAAAATGTCTGGTTTGAACTTCTTAAGGCACCCCAAGTCACGTCAATATATAAATAAATACCAAAGACCAAGTAAGGTCTTGGTGGCAGGTGTGGGGTATAAAGTTGCTCCTCTTGTCCCCCGCCCCTGCCCCCCCGCTAATTCTAGGAAAACCTATTGCTTCGTCATCTGGCCCCACGAGTTGGATACCTGCATCCTAAAACCCTAGACACACCAAATGAAGATACAGCCTCACTTCCCATGACAGGAGTCACTGAGCCTGGGCCAACTGAAAACTCTCCCACAGCACTGAAAGGGGTCATGATGATGGGAGGACGACGCTGCTGGTAACAAGACAGAGGAAGGTGGGATCTTACGTGGGGCTGTTATGTCCGTTGTGACACACGGTATTTGCTTCGTCCCTGGTGAGCACCAGGCCTTCACGCAGACAGGCCTTGGCTACAGCTCTGCAGAGCAAGCTATGGAGGTATCAGCGATCACCTCCTCTGCCAGGAAAGTTCAAGGTTTAACAAGGAAGAGAGAGAACTTACGCCAACAACACAGCCAAACTGCTGATGAACCAGGTTATCTACCTAGTTTTTCTATTTCTCCTCTAAGTTTTAGCATCAGTATAATCAGTCAAACAACTAGGTACTCTTCAGGATCCAATCTGATTTGCTCTGGCTGGGTTTGGTGTGAAATCATTAGCATACAACCAACCCCTTCACCACACTAGCGTCTGGGAGGGCTTACATTCTCCCTGCCTTACAGGATGCATTTCTTCTGTTTCAAGAGGTAGCACGACCAATAAGTACATAAAAAGATGCTCAACATCATTAGCCAGCAGGGAAATGTAAATTACAACCACAATGAGACAGCACTTCATACATACTAGGAGGGCTAGGGCTAAAAAGACAGACAATAACAAATGTCGTCAAGAACATGGAGAAATTGGAGACCTCGTGACTGCTGGTGGGAATACAAAATGGTGCAGCTGCTTTGGAAAATCGTCTGGCAATTCCTCCAAATGTTAAACGTACAGCCTGTCCACTTAAAACTTGTCCATATGTCCACCTAAAAACTTGCATAAGAATGTCCATAGCAGCATTATTCATAATAGCCAACACGTGGCAACAATCCAAATATCCATCAACTGATGAAGAGATACATAAAATGTGTTATATCCATGCAGTGGAATAGTATTTGGTCACAAAAAATGAGTGAAGTGCCAATCCATGCTCCAACATGGGTGAACCTTGAAAATACCATGCTAAGTAAAGCAGGTTGGTCACAAAAAGACCACCTAGTATATAATTCCATTTACATGAAATGTCCAAGATAGGCAAATCCATAAAAGCAAAACATAAATGACCAGTTGTCAGAGGCTGGGGGAAAAGGGGAGAATGGGGACTGACTACAGATAGGTATGGGGTTTCCTTTTGGGGATGAGAATGTTCTGAAATTAAATATTAGTGATGGCTGAACAATGTGGTGAGTACACTAAAAACTACTGACTTTAAATGGATGAGCTGTGTGGTGTGGAAATTATATTTCAACAAAGCGTGTATACACACACACACACACACACACACACATATATGATGGAGGGGGAGAGGGAGGAAGGAGTGGAGCGATAACACCTAAAGTGCCCTTCTGGTCTCAATCAAATTATCCATCACACTCACCATTCGCAGGTTTTGCGTTGTTCTTGTTTCTACTGCTCTGAGGATCTCTCTAAATCTCCCGACTCCTCTCGTCAAGTTCCTGTGTGCACACAGAATTTGACAGGGTTTCCATCTGGCGTGCATTAATATTAAATATTTTATACACATATTTCGATGCATTTTGTCTACATAAAAGCTGTTGGCTAGATTTTAAGCAAACAATTATTCTGCACATGCCTGTCCATCTTTGCTTGACTCTGAAAAATTTGGCCTGGGACTGCTGGTCTTTTGTGCTTCCACAATCAAATTTTCTCAAGGGGAAAAAATCTGAAAATCAGTTCTGAAGCCAGAAGAAGAAGAAGCAGAAGCAGCAGAAGAAAGAAAGAAAGAAAGAAAGAAAGAAAGAAAGAAAGAAAGAAAGAAAGAAAGAAAGAAAGAAAGAAAGAAAGAAAGAAGGAAAGAAGGAAGGAAGGAAGGAAGGAAGGAAGGAAAGGTAGATAGACAGGTAGGTAGGTAGATAGATAGATAGATGTAAGGTATCTTGCAAGAGTCTACCTTCAACCTTACAATGGCTCCATAGTTTTCCTGCTCTACTGAGTGGAAATGTTTTCACTTAAAAAGTGGGCGGCAAGAGGGTATGGGAACACTCACAAGGCACTGAAAGCAGTGTGCTAAAGACTTCCCGTAACTTGCCATTTTTATGGGCAGAACAAAGATAACAGGTATGAAAACTGAGGGGCTCCACCAAGCAATCACTCTGCATCTCTGAGAACCTAAATCACTGCCCAAAAAACCCACCAAGCCAACCCCCCCAACTCTGTACCGACAAGAAGAAGCAAGTGGTCAAAGGCCCCCTCTGCGAGCAAACACATGAGGACTGGAACCCTGAGCCACCCGACTCGGATGGGAACGCATCTCCTCTCACTGCCCCACACCTCACACTGAGACATGTTTGGTGACACATTTCAGTAAAGGACAGACAATTCTTTAGTAACATCCTGGTCACTATATCCAGCCCCCACTTGTAGTCCTCCCTGAAAGCTGTGCCGGTCCCGTTCGGCTGGGAACACTTCCCAGTCAGTCCCTTTACACTGAGCGCTGCTACCACCTACGACATAACTTGGTGATATTTATAACTTGCTCATTAGAACACATCTCATCTTTCCAAAAAACCGCAGAGCAGGTCAGCCGGGGCAGACCTGTCAGCCTTCTCTGCGGGCTGTGGCAGGCGCTCTAGGTATCTGATTGTCTTCTTGGATGACAGTTTAAATCGTGCAAAGGTATTTAATCAAACTGAATGTGGGTTCTGTGTGCTACAAGCCCCCACAAGGGCTATTAATTTGTATCTTCTACCTACACGACATCCCAGGACTCTCATTCACAAGAACAGCCTAATAGTTTATTGGGGTTCAGCACATCAATACTCCCGTATCCCTCTCACCCACACATATCAGATGATTCTTGATGGCACAAAAAGAGATGCTGGTGCTCAGGACTCCAAGCAGTGCTAAAGGAACTCTAACAGAGACGTGAATGAAAATTAGGTAATGGGCCCTGGGACACGCAATCTACTCCGCTTTCCCCTTCGTTTGTTTTTATGGGATCCGTGTTCACAGGCAACAAAGTAAATTTGCTTTGGACTGAAGCTCGGCTCTCCTAAGTACCGGGGGGAAGGAAACAGCTATAACGAATCAGGGATGGGCGTGGACACAGTGGTCTAATTTTGCTCCAGAATCACAGACTATGCTCCTACCATGTGTACAAGGAACAGCAGTCTGAACTGTATGACATATGGGTGGGCCTGAGGGAACGTAACTGGAGACCCAGGTTCACAGGGCTGTTTTACCAGGGTGGCAGTTAGCTCTGAAAAGGCAGCATCGAATCTAAATAGGATAAGCCAGGGTAGGCTACAGGATAGGCACCGGTCATTCGGACGGTCTCTCAAGCCCTCCTGGCAGAATGAGATGCTTACCCAGTTACAAAAGCATAGAATTTTCTAGCTATCCACGAGCCAATGCAACCTAGTCCGTTATGACATAGAAGTGAAGTGCCTTGCTCAGGTTCACAAACCCAGTGAGAGAGTGAGCTGGAAGCTTTTGACTAGATTCTATCACCTTCTTGGGCAAGAGAAACGTCAGCTCTAAAACTGTAGTGCAGCTCTAGAAGAAAGAACGAACTACAAATACAAGAGCTCAGGTCTCTGGCTTATGTCACTTATATGCAAATTACTTCATATATACATAATACACATTTTACACGTTCCAGTGATCACGGCTAACGAGATGCTCCCAGGGAGTGGCTCAAAATCGGAAAGAAAATCCGTCGGCCCAGATGAAGCAGTGTGGCGTCCGGGGTACTGTCTCAGCTGCCTTAAAAGAGAAAGGATGGCTGGAGAAATTCAACTCCCCTCTGAGGGCCCGCTGGCTCTCCCGCGCGGGACCGAGGCCCCCTGCTGGAGTGCTGGAGGAAGTGCCCGGGACTCAAGGGGGCGCCCCACAGGCGGAGGCGGGTCCGCCACTGGGGGCTTCGTCCCAAGGTAGGGACAAATGCTGTTTTTCTCAACCGTTTCCAGATTATTTCTGGAGAGAGCCTAGGATTCAGAATCAAATTCTTCCTCAAGCTCTGGGAGGTCCTGCTCGTAAACAAAGGATCCGCGGTAACCCCCGAAGGCCTGACCCTTGCCAAGCAAACAAACGTGGCGCCCTCAGGAACCACCACAGATCAGTCCGACAGCAGGGAGAAGGGGCTGGAGGGGAAAGATTTTAAATATTAGCAGAGGAAGAAAGTTTCCCAAATGCAAAAACATCTCATTTTCAGCAACTCCTATACCATTCATACATTTTTTTAGTCACATAATTTTATTCTACCAATCATTTCCACCATTGCCATGAGAGCAGAAAAAAAAATTTTTAAGCTAGATGGATAATCATGATAGAAAGGAACAAAAAGGGGAAATTAACTTATAAGAATTACATTCTAAGGGCTATGAAAGACTCCAATTTGAGGGAAATAAAAGCCACATGATTGCTTTCATGTCTCTAAACTATTAGTTTATTCTTAAAATGTTGAGGTCGGGAAATATCCAGAATGAACTGCTGCTTAAAAACTCCACTCCAAAATGAAGACGAGGGAGCCACGGACTCTCCCTGGTTTTGAGGGTTTCCAAAGACCCTTCACATCAGGTCATTTATTCCATTTCAACATCCCTGACTGAGAGAGCGCAATGATGTCAGAATTCATTATGGCAAACTATTCTCAAAATGAGTGTTCCTGCCAGCCTATGAGCAGCAGGCACTTTGGCAAGCTGTCAGAACGTGGGGTTCACCTCCCGCATCTTGCTTGGCTAAGCTTCCTGAGCCGGGTGCGTGTCCCTCCGTGTGGAACGGCTCCCAATGGCTCAGCTATTATCAGGGAGAAAGGAAGGGCCTGCACGTCCCCTGAGCACCAGCTGCTTGTTCCCTGCTTTCCCTTGCCAACATCCCTGTCCATCCCCGACCCTGCAGGGGGTGCTCAGGCCAGTCCCCCCGCCTTGCTCATGTTCAAACCCAGGCTACCTACTGCTCTGTCTTGACAGGAGAGCCCACCCACTTTTCACAGGGACACACTTGACTCCTGGTGACCTATTTGCACCTTTTCTTCCTTCCTTTTTCCATCGGGTTTCATCATTCTCTTTCCTCCTTCCAGGTCTCATCTGCTGGTCCTTAGGTCAGGGCAAAAGCATGACTTCCTGAGGACACCGAGGGAGGCAGACTCGCTAGCACTTGGCCTCCCTCTTGACCCTGTAGGCCCTGCAGCAGCATTTTTGAAGGCCAGTCTCTGAAATTTGTAACTAAAGATCAATTACAGAACAAGTCAACACCATAGATCTCTTAGAGCCTAGAAATCATGTGGCTTTTCTGGGGTCCCTTCGTACCAACAACCACTCCTGAAGCTCTTAAGCAGTAGGTCATTTCAACAGTTACTAAGCACTATTGTACGTCGGGTTCCAGGCTCATCCCTGAGGACATGCTGGTGAGCAACGGACACCATCTCACACACACACACCGCCCCCCCATAAGAACGTAGGCACCTTGTGGACCAAGATCTGTGTTCTGTTCATCTACATATCCCAAGCCCCTCAAACAGAGCCTGGCATACAGCAAGTGCTCAATATTTACTTGTTGAGTGAATTTCAGAACCACTGTGAGTCAAATAAACCAAGACCAACAAGGGGCTACATTTTCTACCTGTTCCTTGTCCCCTTCCTTCTCACTGCACTGGACTGGCCAGCCCAGCAAAGAACTCTCTTAAACAGAACATGTCACACATGTGCTCGGTGGCGTTGCAGCCTGGGCCCCGTGGGAGCAGTGACACACCTGCCTGACCAAGTGACACGGCTGAGCATGCCTGGCCTGACAGCTTTGAGAGGGCTGCACAGATCATAAGGATTTTGAAGACCTTTTTAAAAACCTTCCAGACATTTTGGGGAGGCTTTCCTGCCCATGTGCCTTTATACGTGCTCCTGTCTGAGGTGGTCTGGGAACTGTTAGTCACCCTTCCAGACCTGGGTCAAAGGCCACCCTTGGGAACGGTTTCCCAGCTTCCCTAGGAAAACACGGGTACTGCTTCCTGGGTGTTCCCAACAAGCTCGCACGTATTTTGATTTTCATTTGTATTTACGTCTGTTGGCCCACCAAACTGTGATCACCTTGGGAGCAACAGCCCTCTTTGTCCCTACTGCTACACAGAGCTAACCAGGCACCCGGTGACACCTAGGAAGCTGGGTGCCCTCAAAAGAGAGAAAAGAGTGAGCGCCATCTTATATTCTGAAATCTCTTTCCCTATCTCCTTGCTGAAGAGTTTTCTCGATTACAAACAGGACACCTAAAGCAGACACTTCTTACTTCATGAGATCCACCCCAATGGCATGCTACCCACTGTCAACACAACCCCAGAAAACCGGAAATAAACCACACTGCTCTAGGTCACTTGTTCTTAGTTCTTGGGCTTGAAAATTGCTTCCTCTTCATTTACATAACCTGGGTAGCACCTATTTGGAAAAAGTCTGAAATCAAAACCAGATATCCAGATCTGGAAAGTGGGAGAAGAAAAAGACATCCT